CAAAGACGGGAGGGATGGCTGACGAATGCCTGAGATACCCTCAAGATTAGCTGAGCTATTATCTGCAAAAAAGCAAGAGAGCTACACCACAACAATTTCATGGGTCAGGGCGAAAGTGTCCTTCGCAATTTTGTATAGCGCGCTCCTATGCTAAGGGGATCGAGAACCCCGAGAAGGAGGAACTTAGGTGTTAAGGACAGGGATCTAGAAATAGAGAAGGGTCAAGAAGGACTTCCCTAGACTCAACAGTTATAGATACTTTATTATTGGGATGTACATAGAAATTTTCATCTTTTAGTTTATAGACCGTTGTTTACATTTGCTCTGTTGAAAACCACCAGACCACCAAGAAGTCTTTTTTAACTAAATTTTTTATTCTAAATTTGTATTTAACTTTCAATTTGAGAAGAGTTTAATAAAGTATGTTTTTAAATTGAAAAAAAATATTATTATTATTATTATTATTATTATTATTATCATTATTATTATTATTATTAGTATTATTATCTCGCAGTATAAAACTTTGGAATCTACACTGAGAAGTATGAGAACGAGGAGAAGAGGCAGTATGCGGAAAAAGTAATGGAGATCGAACAGGGAACGTTCACTCCCCTAGTTTAGTTTTCACGACCACAGGTGGAATGGCGGATGAGTGTGTTAAGTACCATAGCAGACTTGCGGAGCTAAACGCAAATAAGAAGGGAGAAAGTTACTCATGGCCAATTTCCTGGATAAGAGAGCTAAAGTATCTTTCACCATCGTACGTTCTTCGATACTATGCTTGAGAGGCTCAAGATCCAGAAGAATACAGCTAGACTTTGTTGATTCAGACCTACAGATTGATAATATTAGAGCCTGCCCGAATTAATTATTTATTATTATTATCTATTTTAATTTTTCAGAGGAACTTTTTTTGAAGAATTAGGAGTTTAGGAATACGAGACTTTTATTCTTTTTAACTTGTTTTCTTTTTAATATTAGAGACGGATTTTCAAAAACTTAATTTAAAATTCTGGACTACCTGCAAGAGTTATTGACCGCATCTGTGCCACAAGGAATGTATTTACGAAATCGTTATTGCAACAGTGATTGCTATTTTTATTATTTATATTATTCTTAAGGATATATAGTGTTTAATCCCTACTTCAAATATTTCTGTAAACTATGTACATATTTTTTTAAAGTTGAATAAGATTAATATATTATTGATATAAAAAAAATTATCATTATTATTATTATTATTATTATTATTATTATTATTATTATTATTTCGAACAGAGGTTTTTAGTAAATGTATGTCCATTCATAACGCTTGATGTTATTTATGTCTTGCTTGCATATTCTTTCCATTTTTTCTCGCAGGCTAATTGAGAGGACTTTGACATTCCCCTAAAAAATAATCCAATTTACAATGGAAATGTCGCGGTGGTCGTCGTAGTGGTGGAAGAGGGTGAAAAAAAATAGGAGGAAGGAGAAGTGAGTAAAAAATTGTGCGTAATGTAAATTAGAGCTAGTTTGCTTTTTTTGCTCTTGTTAATAGATTCCTTAAAATCACTGTGTATTTTATTCTGTTTGTAAATATTCTAAGAGGGTGCTAATGGGGTTAGCCTGATAACTGACCAAAAAAATAAAATTAGTATGTAGTTAACTGAGGAATGAAAAGTTAACAGATAAGTGACATTGTATTAATTATACTGAATACGATCGTTGATGACAATGAAAGCAACAAAGTTTTCGAAACAGCTAAGGTATTCTGTGACATTTATCTGCCCCGCTAATGACCCAGTGACATGTTAACCAATATTATACTACATGCAAAAGTACCTCAGAGGTACCAGGGTCGAGGCAAAAGGAAAACCTCAGTGATAGAGCTGATTGAAGACAATTAATCCCATAATTCATCTTCTAATGTTAACAGGATTTTTATGGTTTCTTTGGTTATGGATAGTCAAGTTAAACATCACTACCCAGAGAAAAAAACTGTCACTCCTGTGTCACTGTTATCATTGGATCTAGCGCTTCAAATGGTCCAGAGGTAAAACCCAAGATTCTCTCCTCCTGATACGCAATAGGATGCACAGACTGACGGAAAATATCAGTTCTATAATTCCTGTGTTCGCAGACCAAGTTGAGCTTTTAACACTTCTGGCAAAGAAGGTGGAAATCTAATCTCGAGCATGAGGCATTTGCACTTTGAACTACGCTCAAGACTTTACAAGCATATTAAAGGAATCTATCAAAAGAACTACGAATTCGAAGTTGGCTGCACTCACGAAAAGTCACGTATTGTGCCGTGCCTGAAACTTTCATGGCTTTGTCAGCACCCTGAACTATAATGTAAGAGTCTCTCCCAGCGGTGCAAACAGCGACAAAAGAAGATGAAGTTGTGATGAGGGACTGGATAGAGAACTTACGAGCTGTTTAAAAACGAACTATAAGAAATGAAACAACTCAAGATAAAGTGGGATCTTTACTAAGAGCTGTCTCCTCTTGGCCGAAGCAAAAAGAACATGCCAAGGTAATATAAAGCCTAATTTAGAGCAAGCAACTCCTGACTACTCATCAACGGCTACTCCAATCACTGCTAAGACCACTCAGCTGTCAAGCTATGCACTTTCCCAGGCCATCAATGAGCTGAGAGCACTCAGTTTATCTTCATCAAGAGCATATGTCATGCTATTTGTTATCTTTTTAAAAAGCGAAAACATTTTTGCATAAATTAAATTCCAAAAACATTGTTCAAGTGTATTGTGGCATTAAAACTTTTTCCCTTTATCTGTTGCAATGGATGACAACAGTTTGGTCATCAACAAAATACAGGACATACAACAACTGGAAGATGAGCGCGAGACTGATTCAAGTACTTACGAAAAGTCACCACTGAAGAAGTTGACCGCCTTAGCAGGACATGCATGACCAGGTCGGGAAGATCAGTACGTGCAAGGTGCGTCTGGATCCGTGACTGATGTCGGTGTTATTTAAAGGCTATACGAATTGTTCGACGATGTTTTTTTTTTCTTCTAAGAATATCAAGTACAGCACATCGCACACCTAGAAACCTGTAATAATAAAAACTTTGAAATGGTGCATAATCTGCAAATTGAATAGCCTGAATAAAAGTTTCTTTAAAATAAAATTCAAGAACAAACACGTCACGACGTATATGTAGTTTGGCATAAATTACAAACAGGCAAAACAAACATTACTAAACAAGACAATTTGAGGCCTAATAAGTAACAAAAGCTGTGAACGAGGTCCTTGGCTTTCCCAATAGAGGATTTGTTTGCAAGTAAATAACGCAAACAGGATTTGTAAGTTTGTGAAGTAAATATTGGATAGTTTCTTCTTCAATATGGTCTAGTGGGAACCGATAGATATCAGGTCTGTACTCACTTGCACCAGGGCTTCCCCTGAATGACCGAAATATAACACCTGCTCTCTTTTTTCGAAGTTCTGTTGCATTAGTTTTTCGTTTTGTGGCTTTTTTCCTATTTTCCTTTTTCTTTCTTGAAACTGATAATTTTGTCTTAGATCCCATACTTTAGGAGGTACGATACATTGCCAATGCTTTATTCAGGTTATCCAACAAATCAGCAATGTTTTTCTAAATACCAGTAGTAAGCTACAAAGTAAGCAATAAAGTTTCTGTCAAAAGATTGGATGTGAAGGGGTGGGGGAGGGGCGTTTGGTTGGTAGTGATCTTATCTTAAAAGGGGGGGATTAGAAGTTATTTGACATCTAGTACAGGGGGGCGTAACTTCACTTAAAATCCTACTTTGCTCATTTAAGACCCCCCTTGCAGGTGATTCTTGCACAGTCCCTAATATGCGAAATCATCTCGATTTGAAGGAACTAGGCGCGCAAGGTGGTCCTGGTTAATTTTTCAGCATGCGCGCAAGTCGGTCTTGGGTAATTCTGGTTCAGCAAGCGAGCAAAGTGCTATTGCGAAATTCTGGAAATACGTCGTAGACAGGTCAGCATTAGATTCAATTCCCCAGAACCACCTTACCCCTCTGAGCTACATTTCATGAAATTTCTGAGGCTCTTCAGATTTCTACTTTTCTACTAATTTTCGAACTCTAAGTCGCCTTAACTTGTTTTAGAAGAAAAAAAAGGAGATTGAATGTGGCATAAGCGGATTCTGAACCCGCCATCCTAGAAAGCGAAACCTATCGCCCATACCATTACACCACAGTGGATTCGACTGGAAGGTATGTTTTCGTTTTACATAGCCATTTCGAGTCCGTGCTTAGTCCTAGTCACTATGTTCAGTGCTTAACCCTAATCACTATAACGTTTTTGCGAAGTTTTAAAATGTCATAACCCGCTACGAGCATAGAAAGAAAGAGATTACGTATTGAACGTTAGAAGACTTATTGCAAAATAAACGTCATATCTAAGGCGGGGGAAGATATAGTGAGGACACTATTGCTAGTAAATGAATTCTACTATAGCTAGGGGCGGAATTTATGTGGATTCATCAACTTTATACCTTGATTTTAGTAGAGTCCACCCCCAAAAGTTGTTGTCGTGCTGAAGTAAAGAAAATTCAGTCGGGTTATGACGGAATAATATTCACTATAAGAAAGTGAAAGAAATCAAGAGATAACGTATTGAACGTTAGAAGACTTATTGCATATATTAAACGTCATATCTAAGGCGAGGGAAAATGTAGTGAGAACTATTGCTAGTAAATAAATTGTACGAGGGGCAGAACTTGTGTGGATAATCATGCAATTTACACCTTGATTTTAGTAGGGTCCACCCCCAAAAGTAATTGTCGTGCTGAAGTAAAGAAAATTCAAACAGGTTATGACGGAATATCATTCGCTATAAGAAAGTGAAAGTTAATAGTTAACTAAAATTAGTAGTTAACTGAGAATTAGCCCCCCCCCCTCCCCCCCAAAAAAGAAAAAAAATACCAGTTAACCGACATTTGGGCGAAAATTAGTAGTTAACTGAGAATTGGGTACCCCTATTACCACCTTCGTTCAAACGTCGTAAAGTATATCTCTAGTGTTTTAAGAAACCTGTCTGGTTTAATTACGAGCATTTATCAGTCGCGAGTTTCAAATGATCGTTCTTAGGCTCTCTATATTGATTAAAATATTTTTGTTTTTAAGAGATGTGCACGGGTTCTTACTGAAGAGCTAAGTGGTATGCAAATGTCGTTTGCGTTTTTTTACTTGTAACAGCGCGTTAATGGGACGAGCGCTAGCTAATAATGAGCTCACACAGACGATTAAGACTATTTCAACAAACCCTTTAATGAAAAAAAGCGAACACACTATCTAGATTTCTTTTACACTGAACTGACCTGAATCCTCTGCCAGCATAATTAACTGGCTTAAACGGCGCGTTGGAAAGAGCGCTTGCTAGAGACCTTCACAACTTTTTCAAGTAGTGCTTAAATGAGAAAAAGAAAACATACTAAAGTTCATTTATACTGCACCACGCTTGCTGTCTTCACGAAAATATTGCAGGTACTTTTAAATAATAATACATTTAGCCAGGGCTAAATGCGAAGCTCTAATTAATATTTATAGTTTACTCAAAAAATATATAAAATCGTGTAATGATTAGTGGAGACAGCAATGAAAACGGCCAAAACAAAAACCGAAACAAAAACAAAAAGACACAGGAAAAAAAAATTGGCCTAAATAGCAAAACAAAAACAACTTTGCACGTACGCGTGCAGCACAATTCTTTTGCAATATCTTTGCCGTTGTTTTGCACGACTACAACGTGAAATTTCCGAAAACGTCCTAGTTACACTTTTTGTGGGGGAAATGTCGTATTTGTTTCTGATCGATTTTTTTTTTCTCTGCCGCTCATTTTCACCTTACAGGCCGCTAGCATTTCTCATTTTCTTACCGCCGCTATAAAATTTTCATGTTCTCGTGTTTTTTATCTCTCGCTCTAGTTCCTGTTCTGTTATCCACGTCAATAAAGACAATAAAATTTACGCGAAAGAAAGACTCGTCTCTGTTATTGTTGTTGTTGTTGGTTTTTTTTTTTTTTTGTTCTCTCTTAAAGTCCGGGTGGCCATGCGATTTATCGCCCAAACTCGTCGGGGCTTAAAATGCGAATTTTCACCCCGTCTTGCATGAAGGGGTGGACGTACTTACGTTTGTACGGGCGATTTTCTCAGAACCAAAATTTCTTGGATGCTAAAATAACAAAATTCTTACCCATGGTACTCCGCTAAGCGCATGCGAGCTCCGCTATAACCTTTTCGGATTCTTTTCGTGCACTCTTATAAGGGCGGTGGTAGCGTTCATCGGAGCGTAAACAAAAGAGTTAACTATTGTACTAGTAACAAATAGCTGAATAGTCAGGTAGCTTTAGTCATGCGATCGATCGAGACAAAAGAGAAACTGACCGTTAATTTTGCAATAGCCAATCAAGATTGAAATAAATAGTTTCCAGCTCCACTTCTTGTGTGAGTCTTGTCTTTTACAACTAATTTAAAGATATGGTTGAAGTAAAGCTTTCAGTTTAGGTTCAACTCTATGTCTTTCTTTTGCTTATGACGGATTTTTAGCACTTAATAAAACACAAACGTGTAGTTAAACGTTAAATTTTTGAGAAGCAATAGATTCTACAGTAACTAACAAATCAGGGTTAGAAGAGATCAGTCAAGCCTATCATGATGTAGGTCTTTTGTTTTTATTGTAGAGAGTACAGGGAAGGCGCTCACTGGGCACTTTAGTATGCGGGAAGACAGTTATTAACGTATGAAAAGAAATTACTAGGCACTTAATTAATGTGCAGGCAAAACTTATTTATTGTGAATTGTATCACACTATCCATAAGGCCATAGCTATTTGCAAATCAAACAGAAAAAAAAATCAAAAGGTTGCTTTCATATCTTGCAGTCTTGCTGATCTTTCCTCGAAAGCACGTACATTTTTAGGGATGCATTGTCTTGGTAACTGGTCAAAAAGTACTTTTTCTTATAACTCTCCTAAAGGCTTTTCGAAACCTAGCGGTACATAATGAGTAAGCAATCGGGTTTAGCAGTGGGTGCAGAAATACCAAACAAACCACATAGTGCCAATTGTATTGGCAAAGACAAGTACTACACCATGAATTTATGTTTACAACGATGGATAATGGAACCCAACAAACCATAAATACCAAAACCAATATGAATGTTGTGTACGCCACACTTCTTTCCTTAATTCTCAGTTTTTGCACGAGGCAAGAATTTTCTGTCAAATAGTGTCCTTCTAATAACCTTCCTCCCGAAGTCGCCACATACAGATGCAACTGTCTTCTAACCAGAACGTAAATCGCCGTGTAGCAACTAAAAACTAAGATTGTTATAGGGATGCAGATCAAGTTAAAACCCCAAGATATAGATTCTAAATACAAGTCCCATCGTATAATGGTAGGGAGGGCCAGGATTAAAGCTAGTAACCATATTGCCATAAAGCAAAGATATCTGTTACAAGTCGTCAGTTTGACTCTTGTGAAGGGCAAAACGATGACAATGAGCCGTTCCACTGCAAGGACAAGGATCGTTAAAATCGACGCAAGAAACGCTACGTGGTTAATAAAATACCCTGCTTGTATCAGCGTTGGGTTATCAGGAAACCAGTGACGAAGTCCAAACAGAAGTTCGCCTGGAAAGCCGATGAGTAAATCACATACAGCAAGGTTTAAAATGAAGAAGTTGGCGGCTGTTCCCCTGAGTTCCTTGTATGGATCTTTGCAGATTACCAGTATAACGGTAGCGTTTAAAGTAACTGTTAATGGACAAAGCGAGAAGACGATTACCGCCTCTCGAAAGGATACTTCCTCTAAAAAGAAAAGAAAACGATGAGGATGTTGCATCAGTACTCAGCTGGCCTTTTACATCAATGCATGAGAAAAAAAGGACAAATTTCAGTTTTCAGCAACTTTGTCAACTATGTTGACAAAAAACTGATGCTGTTTGCGAAGTTGAATCGTCCATACCAACGGGACCCTTGGATAAATCTCACTAAACTATTAAATGTCTCTATTGAGCAAGCAAGACAAATGGGTCCACGCAATATTGGTTGACTGTGTAATCGCCCATTCAAATCCGTGGTAACACGATTATTGATTGGAGGATTAAACTATAACCGAGCTGATTGTTCCCCTGTTGACACTCGTTCGTTGAGTAGTGAAAACATTTTAAATTTTGAATTGCTCAGTATACTAACTGGCCATTGACCAAGATCACTGTAACGAAAATTCATAAAAACTGGGAACTTAATTCTACTTTAAAGCTCGCGCGAAGAGAGCGTACGAAGTAACAAACCAAATCGAAACTCACCAACTGTGCAATTCATTGTAAAATCTTCAATATCCGGCTATACCTAGTTGTAGGCATACCACTCATCGCCGTAGGCCTCTCGTTTTCTTTGGACATTTACAATGTTTGTTGAATTGAGCTAGGCTTCTCTTGCACTTAGAGCGTGCATTCAATGCAGTTTATATGCCTTTTAACACTACATCTATGTTACTTCCGCTGTTTCCTTGAATAGTTCATTAGCATGTCACACGATTATTGAGCAGGAAATTATTGCAGTATCCTACTTAGCATTTCTTTCGTGTTTATAGGGTGGCAAAGGAATACTAACAAATGACGTACTAAGTAATACACGAAATGAACGAGTGAAGAGACACTCAAAATTTATGAAAATACAGCTTGATTTTCTTTCCCAGAAATAGTCAAATAAAGTTAATAAGGTTCAACATGCGTGGGTGGGCTGACTGGCTTGAACATTAAGCTGGGGAATCTCCCGTTTAATGCGTCATCCGCCCAGCTGACCTCGTAACCCGAACGATACCGCACCCAATTCGTCGATTGTAATCAGTTCTTAAACCGCCAGTACAGTATCAAGTCGTCTCCTGAAGCGCATTTAATATTATTATTATTATTTTGTCGTTAATAATTAATACAGTGGAGCCCCGATATAACGATGGCCGTAGAACTACTGACAATATCGTTGTATCGGGGTAAACCTAACATGTACTTTTATTACTGCTTACGTTACTTAATTAAATTTGTAATGATTTACAAATGTAAGATTTCATGCAAGCACGTAGCAATGTCCTTAAACAGTTTCCAAAGCGTATTATATCACGGTGTATTATGCACAGTAAATTCTGTGGTGTGAATCGTACAAGTACATTCTTTACTTATCGCGTATTCATTGTTTTTAATGCATTATAATTACGCATGACACATTGTTTCTGTTATCAGAGTCATGTACAACCTGCAAGTAGACCAAGTAAGTTGACAGAAACGTTAGAGATTACTCGATTACTGTAATGTTATTGTATTACGTTCAATGGTTTGCTTAATCTGTGACTGTGTACAGATAATATCGTCTGGAAAGATTTTGCCTTCGGTCCGCTATATTTGCACCGTTATATCGAAGATCGTTATATCGGGGTTCTGTCCCATACATTTTACTGTAACTTTTGCCGGGACATAGAATATTCATCGTTACATCGAGGATCGTTATATCGGAGTTCCACTGTATTATTATACTTATTGAGGCATCCAAGCGGTCGTATTTTCTCATTGCTTGCCTAATACCACCCAGAGTTCAAGTGACGTGTTATGGACCTAGAGCAGACTGGGATTTAACTAAATTCTCTTACATTCTTTTCTTTACCACCACAAGGAAGAATATATGAATGCTGGGGCCACTTCTTTGCATAATATTCTTTCAATCTCTGTACTTTTAATTATCGCTTCGCTATGAGGACAGTCGTTTTACCGTAGTGGGAAGACCCACTGATTATCTGAATTATGCCCTTCTCCACCTTTTCCACATCAAACCATAAAAACTCAAAAGAAAGGTAGTGGACGTTTAAAATAACACCGTTCCGCTATATGGTGTCACTAAGGGACGGGAGTAAAAAAAACGGCAGATGACGGAAAGAAGAAAGTATTAAAATAATATTTTAGTGGCTATTACCCATATTTAACTGTCAGTTTTAGAATAACATCCTTCAGGGGTAAAAAAAGGTTCAACTACGTCAGATTGTTTAAGGCAATAACGGATCTCCGTCCCCCCGCGTCTGGAGCTCTAAATAAACAGGCAATCTATACACTAATCTATGAACGTTGATATTGCCATCTAACCAGAAATTAATGCATTTTGCTTGAGATTTCCTGTAACGAAATGAGTGTTCAGATCTTCACCATATAAACTGTAAATAAATGTTTAATCGATACTTACGCAAGAAGGAAGGTCGTGAAGAAACGTTGCGCTGTTCACTTCTTAGATAACTTGATAATGGATTCATTATAATACTTTGGTTATCCAGCGCAAAAGATGGGAAAGCAATATTCATATCGGATCCCCTATTGTTGTTTGCATCACAATTAAGTTTATTCTTCAACTGAAACGTGTGAGTGGTCATTTTGCCCACTCAATCTGTGTGCGTAATCGATGTTATTTTACGGTAAATGTACTGGATTTACCGTTTGCGTCACCCATAACGATATATCGCTAAGTCTGTATGATATATAACAATTATTCACCGAAGTGGAGGTGGCTAGTCGTGCATATTAACCGAACTGCGAAACAGTGAGATAATTGAGCACAAAAATGATGATTTTTAACTCAAATACTGTTGCCAACGATTACAATTTTGGCGCGTAATGACCGGGCGGCCGCGCCGTCGCTTTTTCTTGCCGACAATTAAAACTTTTGAAGGCATTTGTTTAGCTCTTGCGGGGAAATTTCTTCAAAAGGAGTTGTGAATTCTTTTTGCATTTAAAATCATTCTATAAAACATTATTATTAAATTTAGTTGTAAGCTTATTTATGAACAACTCAACTAAATAAAGCAAAGCAAGACTTAAACTTAATTTGCATTTGTAAACAAAAAACTTTTTCACCGGTTTTATCGATAAATTCGTGTCAAAAAGACAAAGCTTTACCTGTTAAAACTTCCAATCCGAACTTCGTCACCTTCTTCGTGTATTTCGGAAACAGCTTGCTTGATTAGTTGTGAAATTTCTTTGTTTGTTTACGGCAGCAAACCGGGAAGGCATTTTGCTCGTAACTTACGCGAGTTTGGCGTCGCTCGCTCGGAGGAACTGGAGGTGAATCAGTGAATAGTGAGGGATATTCACTGATTGAGTAGCCAATCAGAGTGCGCGAAAAACACTATCCACTGTTTTAGTATATACTAAATAGATTTAGCCAGGGCTAAAAGCGAAGCTGTCGATAACATTTATAGTTTGTTCAAACAAAATATAAAATCGTGTTATGTTAAGCGGCGAAGGCAACGCTGGAGAATGGTGAAAAACAACTGAATAGGTGTAATTAGCAAAAAAAAGCAACTTTGCACGTGCAACACAATTTTTTTGTACATTTCTTTGCCGTTGTTTTGCACTACTACAACGTGAAACTTCCAGAAACTTCTTAGTTACACGTTTTATGGAGGAAATGTCGTACGTGTTCTCGTTCACTTGTTTTTCACTGCCACTCATTTTCACCTTGCATTGGCATTACACTGGGAACTTTTACTGTACATGTGATTACTGTAAAAATGCTGCCTTACGCAAGGATAGTACAGGGGCACCCAACGACAATTTTCGGAAAAATATCTGTTCGGAAGACGATTTGAGATCTAGAATTTTCGGAACATTTGTTGTAAAATTTCTTGCTTGCATGCCTCTCCTAGGATTTTCGAACATATAAAAGATGGTATACTTGCCCATTTTTAACTCATTTTTACCCTAAAAAGTTCACCTAGAATTTTCGGGAGCCTATTTTCTTGCTAAAATTTTCGAAAAGGTGAGCTTTGATCCCTATAATTTTCGGATCACTAGACTGTCAGCTAGGAAATCCGAACAGATGAAAAATTTTTAGGGGATAAAGATATGCCTATATCTACCGTTTAAATACTAAAATACATTCAACAATGCTATGTTTAAGTGGTTTTGAACTACATTCTCGTTGGGTGCCCCTGATAGTAGAAAAACCACTGTATACTTAGAATGTTTTAATTGATCGATTCGTAGATCGTTGATCGTTGATCGTTTAGTTACGTTGATTGTTGTGTTACGACCGTTGAATATGTGAGAATTGTACATCGGAGTAGATTGTTGGATTGCATTAAATCGTGTTGTTACATCGAAAGATACAGTCCTCTTGATTTGTTTGAACCAGCGGAGCGGGGTTAAAAGAATTCCGCAACATACTCTAACGAAAAAAGTGAGCTATAAACGCACAACTAAAATATCGGAGTTCATATTTTTTGTCTCGATACTTTCACTTGGCTCGTAGGACAATTTCGTCCACGTAAAGCTCACTTACGGTTTGCTGGTGCCATATTGGATCAGACTGGATCTTGACTCTGTGATATGAAACATAGAAACATTATAAAGATGTAAGTTTAGATGACAGAGCTTGGAAATCGAGCTTGAAATGTGACTCAAAGAAAACAAGGACAATTTAAGAACGATAATCTGCTCTGATTGAAATGAAAGTTAAATACTCACGTTCTCGCCACAACACCAAACAGACCAGTTTCACGTCGCCGACGGGAGCACGACGGCAATGTGGTGAGCAAGAGCATGCGCAATATGGCACAAATCATGAAGTCACGTCCGGTTGAAGTTGCCGTCGCCCCGAAAACGTCTCCATCTTAAGTTCCCTAAGAAAAGGACAAGGGAGAAATCCTTGTTTTGAAATGAGGGGCTCCAGCGCCGGAGCGACTTTTTCCCAGAAAATCGCATCGCTCCGCTTTCAAACTTCGCAGCAAAAAGGTCCCGGAAAAGGTCGAAAGATTCACGCTTCTTCTCGTACCTTCCGATCGAAAATCCATCCAAAATGCCCGGAGCTAGCCTCGAAGAAAATTACAAGATTCATACTTGCCAGTAACCAAATGGTTAAATAATAACTGATTTAAAGAAGACTGTGTAAGCGTTTATTTGTTTAACAACATCCAATCAAAGAGAGGCAATTAGCGGGATGGTTTCTGACTGGCACGTATGAATCTTGGTGCGCATTTTGACCGTTCAAAAACTGTGGGATCTTACTGAATTTTCTTGGAGGGTTAGCTCCGGGCATTTTAGATGGATTTTCGATCGGAAGGTACGAGAGGAAGAGTGAATCTTTCGACCATTTTGCTGCAAATTCATATTTGCCAAAGTCATCGGTACAGCTTTGATCCCAACCAACCCAAGAGATTACCAGTGAAAACTACACATTTGCTAGACCTTACTGCACTCAAAAAGTTATGGGCTCCTTTAAACCTTAATTATATCATCAAGAGAGAATGAGATTCCTCATTTCTTCTTGAATAAAATTTGGTAGGCCAGTTCAATTACCGGTACTATTTTTACTACTACTTTTGCGATGAAGTCTTCCGAAATAATAACCCAAACCCCATACAGAGTAGGTGACCAATGCAAACCCAACGAGCTCATCACTTTTAATAAATACATAAATTCAATATTATATTTCCCTTTATAACGAACCCCTATTTAACGGACACCTCTTCTAAGCGGACGCGGACACTGAAATAAATTGTATTTGCCTAATTTGTATCGTTAAAAATACGCACCGTAGTCCGATTAATAAAGATAAATCAATACTTTTAGCTGTCAATAAAAGGTAGATTAGACCGATATCCCGAGGTATGGTTGTCATCCGCGATCAAAGTTCACCTAAAAGTCTTGCACAAAGAACAGCACAGACATTGAGCGACACCCTCTGTTTAGCAGACACTTAGGAAGGTCCCGAGGGTGTCTGCTTGATAGAGGTTTCGTTATAATTCATCAAAAACTTTCTCGGGTCTTCTTGTCGTGTAATCGTCTACTGTACAAATCCTCGGTGTTCTGTTTCAAATCATCCTTTTCATAGTGAGACATATTTCGTGAGAGGTGTTGAGGTTAATGATGCTGAAGGGGAAGGGGGGAGGGTGCACTCCCTTATTTGGCCCAGACCGGTACGTGACGCTGGGCAAGGTATGGTTTCTAGGGACTTGTGGCGTCTTTAACAGGGGGTGATTTTACATGGAAGCCGTGTGAACGCTACAGATGAGAGGCCTGCCTGCAATTGTGGCACCAACATTTTTTTCCAAAAAAATTAGTTCCGGTATATTAGTTTAAAAAATTGCCTTATTCTACATGAAACTAAACTCTGATTAGTACCGAATTGACCTTTTCTTTTTGCGGTGGAATCTCATTAATTTGCGTTACCTGGAGTACATTAACGTTGATGACGTCATAGCCTTTTGTCTTTATCTCATAAATAAAATGAGGAGGAATCTTATTAATTTGCGGTGTGTGGAGTACATTAACGTCGATGACGTCATAGCCTTTTGTCTTTATCTCTCTCACGTTCAGGTGGTAGGTGATAGGTGGGGTAGGTGATAGGTGGGGTGACCCCCCGCAGGTTACCTCACCTACCTGGGGTCCCCATGTAAACAGGCCCTTATTAGGCACTTGCTAGGCTAAACCAGGGTTAATTTTGCCGAATGTATACCTCTTAAGTGAAAAACTGTTCACATATAGGACACTTTTCACTTCTTTATTGTTATCACACGGGCTTGCCTAACAACCTGCCGCACAAGCTTCAACGTGTGTAGAATGCAGCTGCCAGGGTGATCTGCGATGTTCATGTTAGACGCTTCGATCACATCACTCCCACCTTATTTAGCCTCCACTAGCTGCCAATTAGATAAGGAGTTCAATTTAAAATTTTACTTTTTACCTATAAAGCCTTAAATGGATTCGCTCCTACATATATTACAGAACTATTAAAACTTAAAACTATATTCCTCGATACAATCTAAGGTCTTCTGATGACAAACTATTACTTCAGCATCCCAGAATAAGAACTCTCGCTACTTTTGGCGACCGTTCATTTACCCAATTCTTCGTTTCCTTCATTCTACCATAAACTATTATATGCAAATCCATGTACATGTAATATTCATCTTTTATTCATTTATATATTTTTTATACATATACGGTAAAACACCACGACGTTTTATTGTAATTATTTTAATGTAATGCGGGTGTGAGCATATTTCCATGTAACGCACGCACTGTAAGTCATTAAATTATTATTATTATTATTATTATTATTATTATTATTATCATTATTATTATTATCTCGCAGTATAAAACTTTGGAATGCTGTCCACATTATGAGTAGTATAGGGCGCATAACGTAACCTACACCACTTCAGAAGCTACTTAGAAGTAAAAAAAGGTCGGTAAGAAACCTGATACGATCCTAATATACAGAATGATATGAATCTCTTTACTTAAAAAGCCAATTTAGAATATTATTAAATTCTTATTCTCTGTAAAGCCTACGCAAAGACATGATGATATAATTATCTCTTCTAGAAGCCTATTTAGAAAATTATTCAGTTTTTATACTTTTTTTTTACTCTCATTATCTCTTATATACCTAAACAAGGCCATCATAATATCAAACCCTAATACTCTAAAAAATCTTAGTAAAAACATCAGCAAACTTGTGTTTCTGGATTTCGCGAGAAAAAAAACCCTAAAAACTGGAGTCCTTAGCGCCCTAACTAAGTATTTATCTTAAATGTTCGGCAATGCTCCAAGTGTTTGAGATTGACCGACTTCCGCGGCATCCGCTCAAGTACGCTCCGTGCTCTCGCACCAAGTAGCTTCCTCACCGACTTCTCTAGGTGTTTAGAGTAACCACCCAGTACGTCAATTATTACGTTGTACTGTTCAACCCCGTAACCATTGTACCTCTGCTTCAGACTTCTTTCCTCTCGTGGCTGACAAGTCGCGCGTGGATCCGATTTGCTCTAACTTCGTTGTGCTCTGCATGGATGGAAATACCCCAAAACGCCTCACTCGTGGTGTTCTGGTAAGCTGGTTTTGGCATCACCGGTGACTACCATGGTGGAACCTCTTCTATTAACCCATGCTCTCGCAGGAGCTCAAAAAAACAGAATCTTCAAAGTTGCATTATGCCTGTATAGGTACTTGGTTTGTATTATTATTACTATTATTATTATTTTTAAGGCCATAGCTTATTGCAAATCAAACAGACAAAAATATAGAGGCTGCTTTCATCTTGCAGTCTTGCTGTTCTTTCCGCGACAGCTCGTACTTTTACAGATGCATTGTCTTGATAGCTCAGGTCAAAAAGTACTTTTTCTGATAACTCTCTTAAAGGCTTTTCGAAACCTAGCAGTACGTAATGAGTAGGCAATCGGGTTTAGCAGTGGGTGCAGAAACATCAAACAAACCACACACTGCCGAGATAAATTGGATTTGCAAAGACAAGTACTACACCATGCATCGATGTTTACGACGACGATCATAGGACACCAGCAAGCCATAAATAACAAAACTAATATGAATGCCGTAAACGCAACATTTCTCTCCTTCGTTTTTATTTTTTGTATGAGAGGAGACTTTTCTGTCAAAGATTGCCCTTCTAATAACCTTTCCCCTGAAGTCGCCACACTCCGATACAACTGTCTTTTTACCAAAATATAAATTCGCGTGTAGCAACTAAAAACTACTAGTGTTATCGGGATGCCAATAAAGTCATAAAGAGAAGTTGCATATGCTTTCAAAAACAAGAAGTCCCTTTGTTTGATGCTAACAGGCAGGGCCAAGATTAGAGCGAATGACCATATTGCTACAAAGCAAAGGTATCTGTTACAAGTCGCTAGTTTGACTCTTATGAGGGGGAAAGTGATAACAATCAGTCGTTCGATAGCAAGGCCAAGGATCGTAAAAATCGAAGCAAGAAACGCTACTTGGTTGATAGAATATACGGCTCTCAGCATATGATTGTCAGGAAACCAGTAAATAAGTCCAAACAGAAGTTCGCCTGGAAAGCCGATGAGTAAATCACATACAGCAAGATTTAAAATGAAGTAGTTGACGGCTGTTCCCCTGAGCTCCTTGTATGGATCTTTCCAGATTACCAGTATAACTGAAGCGTTTAAAGTAACTGTCAATGGACAAAGCGAGAAGACGATTACCGCCTCTGGAAGGAACACTTCCTCCACTTCCTCTAGAAAGAAAAGAAGACGATAAAGATAACATATCAGTTCTCAGCTGGCCTTTAATTTACATCAATGCATGAGAAAAAATGGGAATACTCCAGTATACAGCCCGTGCTGATTCAGGTCGCCTGTGATAGCATTTTTAAGTTTTTGAATTGCTGAGTATACTGTCCAGCCCTTGAGACAACTGTTTATAAATGTTCATAAAACCGTGCTTAAATCTACGAACCCACGCGTGAAGAGGCTAGGGCAAAATCGAAAAACAAATCGAAACTGACCTAGTGTGCAATTCAAGTGTCCAATAGTCGGCTCTACACAGTTGTGGTTACCACTCATCGCCGTAGTCCTCTCGATTTCTTCGGACAATTCCACGGTTTGTTGAATTGAACAAGGCTTCTCTTTCACTTATGACACGTATTCCAGTGAATGCCTATAAACACCATATCTATGTTACTTCCGCTGTTTCCCTGAATAGTCCTTCAGCATGTCACGCGATTATTAAGCACGAAATTATTGCATCATTTGCTTCATGCTCTGCATTTCTTTCGGGATTAAAAGGGTGGGCACAAAGAATACTAACAAATGACGTGAGTAATACATGAATGAATTAGTTAAGAGATGCTCAAAATTTATGAAAATACAGCTTGATGGTTTTTTTCCAAAAATGGTCAAAAGCTGTTGATACTAGGGCCAATATGGGTGGGAAGGCTGACTGGCTTGGAGCATTATGCTGGGGAATTTCCCTTTTAATGCGTCATCCGCGCCTGACCTCGTGAACCGAATGATTCCGCACCCAGGTCTAATCAAGAAATCGGTTTTTAAGCCTGTAATTTAACCGCCATTACATCTTTAGTCGCCTCCCGAAGTGCATTATTATTATTATTATTATTATTATTTGTTTTTTGTCTTTAATAATATTATTATGATTATTTTTTTTAATAATAAAATCTTTATTACAAAACCTCAATTAAAATCCTATTTACAATCAACCTTCATTAGAGAACAAATATGATTATTTTTCGTTCTCACTCTTCACGTTCTCCTAATCCAAATTGTCCTGTTTTCTCGATCATTACTTGCCTTATAGCACTTTGTCCAAGAAGTGTGTTTTCCCTAGAAGTGACGAAGTCTTATGGACCTAGAGCAGATTGGGATTTAACTAAATTTCTCTTGCAGTCTTTTCTTTATCACCCTGAGGAAGAATATATAAATACTGGGACCACAATATTCTTTTAATCTTTGTACTTTTAATTATGGCTTCTCTATTATATAAAAGGGACAGTGGTTTTACCGCAGTGGGAACATCAACTGATTATCTGAATTATGCCCTTCTCCACCTCTTCCATATCAAACCATAAAAAACTTCAACAAACAAATTTTAAAAACTCAAAAGACAAGAAGGGGACCTTTAAAATAACATCTTTCCGCTCTCGGGTATCACTAAGGAATGGGAATAAAGAAACGGCAGAGGACGAAAAGAAGAAAGTATTGAAATTACAATGGCTATTGCCCATATTTAACTTCCTGTTTTAGAATAACATCCGTCAGGGGTCAAAAAAGGTTCAACTACGTCAGATTATTATGGGCTATAACGCCGTCTCCATACCCCCCGTCTCCCCGTCTCCCCGCTCCCCCTTAGCTTCCTCGCACCGGGGTCACGGAGCTCGAAATAAACATGTCAGGCAATTTATGAACGTTGAAATTGCCATCGAACCAGAAATGCATTTTTCCTGAGCATTCCTGTGACGAAATACGTGTTCAGATCAACACCTCATAAAATGTATGCATGTTTCATCGATACTTACGCAAGAAGGAAGTTCATGAAGAAACGTTGCGCTGTTTACTTCTCAGGTAACTTGATAATGGATTCATTATAATACTTTGGTTATCCAGCGCAAAAGATGGGAAAGTAATATTGATATGAGATCCCCTACTGTTATTTGCATCACAAGTTTATTCAACCGTATACATGGCTTACACCTATATCGTGTGAGCGGTCATTTTGCCAGACAAGAATTAGTTTCAATGCTTGAGTCAGGAGCACGATGGGTCTAAATTTAGCGAGGAAACTGCGGACTTACTTAATCAGTAATCAAAGCTATTAAAACAGTATAGAATCGCGGTGAGTGAGCTTGCTTTCTGAAAATATTAAATATCTTTCTGAAATTAAACTTCAAAGTCGTTTTAATAGTTGAATACTCAAGGACAGTTTGGGAAAGTTATATGAAGTCATCTCGTGACTGTCATATGCCAACGTCGTCAGTACAGCTTTGATCCGTCAACCAACCCAAGAGATTACCATTAAAAACTACACATTTGCTAGGCCTTACTGCACGCGAACGTTGTGGGCTCCTTAGCCTTAATTGTATCATCAATAGAGAATGAGATACCTCATTTTCTCTTGCTTGTACAATAAAATTTTATAGGTACTATTTATGAAAAAAAGATGCTCTTTACGATAAAGTCTTCCGTAATAATAACCGAAATCCCATACAAAGTAGGTGACCTATGCAAACCCAAAGGGCTTATCACTTTAAATAAATACATAAATTTAATATTACAGTGAGACCTCTTTTAAGCGGACGCCCAATTAAAGGTAAGCGGACACCCTCTATTAAACGGACACTAAGCCGGCCCGAAATTAACGTCTTATACACTCTTTTTTTTTTTTTTTTATAAGAATGTTGTTTTCCCGGGCCAGGCTGAATATTCTTATTTTTCTGCCGATTTTAGGCTTTAAATATTCTTGTATTATTCTTAATAATAGCTTATGACATTTCTGTTTTAGAATATATTAAGGTATTAATTACAGTTTTGTTAAATATAGTTAGCTAGTTTTGCCGTTTAAAGAAAGGAATAAATTGAAAACGTATATTTGTATTGTATTTACAGATTTTCACCACACGAAATAATATCCTTTTCAAAATCTCAGCCTGGAGTTTATTCTTAAAGTATTCTTAAGATTTCGCAAATTTCAGCCTCGATATTCTTATAAAATATATTCTTATAGAAAAAAAAGAGTGTACTTATTTTTCTTTATATGTCTTATATCTATAACGAACCCCTATTCAACGGACACCTCTATTAAGCGGTCTCAGACACTAAAATAAATTGTATTTGGCTAATTTTTATCGTGAAAAATACTTTGCCTGTGTCGCAGACCTAAACCTTCTGTATAGTACACTCTTCTTTTTTTTATAAGAATGTTGTTTTTCCGGCCCAGGCTGAAGTATTCTTATTTTTCTGCCGATTTTAGGCTGAAAATATTCGTGTATAATTCTTAAATTATAGCTTATGACATTTCCGTTTTAGAATTTATTGGGGTATCAATTACAAGTGTTTGGTATCTAGATCTGTAATTGATACCCCAATAAATTCTAAAACGGAAATGTCATAAGCTATAATTTAAGAATTATACAAGAATATTTTCAGCCTAAAATCGGCAGAAAAATAAGAATACGAAAAGGATAGATATAATTTTGTGTGTTGAAACATCTCTAAATACAATACAATTTTATGTTTTTAACTTAACAGTATAAAATTATTCCTTTCTCTGAACGGCGAAACTAGCCAACAAAACGAAAAAACCTGCACTAGCTATAGCAAAATGTTCAACGCTAATGACAGTTCGATGAACGGTACGTGTAATACATATGTACTTGAGAAATTGGTAGGATTTTTTAAAGATTTTCTGTTATAAGTAAAAACCATTTATAGTGTCGTGGCTTGACCTTGTATATACTGTGCAAATATGTTCCTGTCTGTCGATGTCTCGCTGTTATTCCGAATCGTTTTTTCAAAAAAACAACAGTTTGAGTAGTAGAATGTGATAAATTTGAACATTTTCACAATACATTGCGTTTTCAAGAAAAACGAAGGAGGACTGGGGAAATTCATGCCAACACATTTGTCGCCGAAAAGAATCGATATAGGCCATCCCCATAAAATGTTTCGTTTCCCATCGCCTGACCGACCCTTTTTTTTTGGATAAGTAAAAAAAAAATTCCAGAATCACTTGTAAAGAAACAAGTACTTTAATTTACAAGCACACGATCTTGTCTCATTAAAACCAATTGTCTTAAATTATCATCGATACTTCGTTTTTGTAGCCTTTTTAGACATTTCTATTGTTCTTAAAAACATTAGATTCGATTAAATATAAACTGACTTAAAAATCACTGCAAGTCTCAGTTCCGGTTCATTAATTATTTCTTGGGGTGCAAACCGTGCATATTCAATTCATGGGGTTCCAAGGTAAACTACTTTTTTTAGCACGAGAGACATTCTTTTCTTTACCTCACACCCTACTTCTCCCCAATTCAGTTCTTTCTCTCCTCCGCAAATCTATAATTTTTCCCCCACCACGACCACTATAAATTATTTCTATTGCCTTGGCGCCTCTTCCTCCTCCTCCTCATGCTCCTCATTATCAGCATCATCTTCCTCCTCCTTTGTATTGTAAGATAAATGTGGGTTCGATGACAAGATCACAATTCCATTCGGTTTCCGAGGAAAGGACTCAAAATTTCAAACGCAAAGAAAATGATTTTTTTTTTTATTTCTCGTCCAAATAAACATCCATTCATTGCGGGACAGCAGATAAGCTTAAAAATAGGATTACTCAGTGGGTTTGTGGCCTGGGCCAAAGGTGTGTTCGGAGCATATGAATGATTGGCAAGGTCTCTCGCTAGGAGACCTAAGACAAAATCAATTTTTCCCCAAAAGTAAATCTTGAAGATTCATAACGAGCCGCACCGTCTTAGCAACCAAAAACATTTTGTTTATCTAGCTGAGATAGGGGACTAAAAGTCCCCTATCTCAGCTGGATACTCAGAAGCTTGTAACATTCACTATTCCATTTATCTCTGATCATATTTCGCATCTAATACGATACAGGCGTCAATTTTCGCGCCATCATGTCATCATTCTAGGGCGAGAAATTTAATTAAAAGCGCGGCATTCAACAAATGTACGGCTCAGCTTTCGGCTAAAATTATTCAGTGTCGTCAAAGAAAAAAACATATTATCAAGGTCTGCGTATAAAGTCGATCACATTGCTAGCACAGACAAAAACGCTTAAATATCTCCTACAAAATGAACGGCTGAGTTTGTATTTTCTACGGGTCAAACTGCTACTATATATCCCAGAAGCGCTCAGGCATAATAATATGCCAGGACTTCTACCTGGATAAACCAGAAAGGATATAGAACAACTACCAGGAGCCCATCAAATGGAGCCTCCATCTCCATTAATTTCTTGAGTCAACCCTTTCCCGAGTAAATTTATAAATAGAACGGCTAGTTTCCCGCGAAAAGTGTCATATTTCCGTGAGTCTCGTATGTCACCGTGAAAAAATAAAATTGCATGAAGTCGAACTCAGAAACCCGTCTTTCGACCGTTTTCCTTTATTCCTTTACGTCCGTTTTTACAATTTTACAGCCGCTGGGATCTGGGTATCATGAAATAAAAGTTAATGA